GGCGGGGCGGGGCGGCGTGGGGGGTGCGGTATGTGCGGGGGGCGCGGCAGCTGCGGGCGCGGAGCCCGAACGTCTGCTCGCTGCGCTGCTCGACCTCGCCACCCTCACGCGATTGTTGGGACGACTTGCTCCCGCGCTTCTTGCCGGTAAGACAATACTATTCTTGTATTTACTGTCCCATTTCTGTATAATTAAAAACCGATTTGCGAGATCCTTAAAAAAATTATGTACAGTAGAACATAAGTTATCGATTTTCTGTAACGAATTGCATCACTTAAATGGCAATGAGTTAGTCTATCCTTTGAACCCTAATGAGTTTAATTATTTCTAATTAAACGACTCTGCTAGCGGCACTCATTCTTATACCCAATAGGTCCGATTGTGAAGTATATATTGATTTAAGTTGTGTATTACAGAAGCGGAAGGTGGTCGTGGCGCGGCTGCGGGCGCGGCGCTGCTGGAACGTGCGGCGGCCGCGCTGGCCGGAGCCGCACTGACGCGCCCGCACCGCGCGCACTCGCATACGCACGCACACGCCCACGCCTTCGTACAAGTGTACGTATACTACGTCATACTTTGCTTTCCTAGCAATATTGAATTAAATCTTTCAATTTTTTATTTACCTCCACTATCTAAAAAATTGTTGAATGAGTAATTAATTAATTTTAGAATTATATTAAGACCAAGGTAAATAAAATCTAATATCTTTATTTTACCCCTGGTGAGTGGTAACTCTGTATTGTGTATATTTTAGGCACGCAGAAATGTTTGCATGTATGGGCGCGTGGTGTTGCTACGCCACGGATTGCAATGTGCCGATACAAACTATGGAAGGCCTTTTCAACTCTGCAGTGCCGTTTTTAATACCACATGAAATGGCTGTAAGTTTTTCTATTTCTTCTATTTAAGAGGCAAAATAAAATTATTACTATTTTATTTATTAAATAAAAATAAATTTCAGGAGCCTCCCCTGCTTTGTCACGCAGCCGCACATCTGTTGCTGAGTCTCTCAAAGAATGTAAAGTTCACCAATGATCCCATACTACTGGTGGGTGACTTATATAACCACGCTCAACGCTCACTGCATTACTTGGAACCGAAGGTAATTTATTTTGCATTACCTTAACGGCTAATATTATCGTTATTCCATCACCGGTTCGGGAGTTTGAATTTTTTCGGCCCGAACCTAGACCTTAGTTGCAACGGTTAATGAATAGACAAAATAGAGGAGTTATTAATAAATTTCAAATAATATTCACATTAAATAATATTTGCATATAAAGTTAAAAAGAGGTTGTATTGAAGAACAGAATTAAAATACATATAATGTATGTTGTCAGACAGCGGGCGTGGTGCGCGAGGCGCTGCTGTCGTTGTCTCTGTCTCGTGGTGTGGCGGGCGGCGCTG